TTATTATTACTACTACTACTACTACTACTACTACTACTACTACTACTACCTACTACTACTACTACTATTATTAGTATTATTATTGCTATTATTATTATTGTTGTTGTTTATAATTGTTGTTTATAATTTGTACAATTAACCTCCCTGTGGTTCGACCCCGGTTTTGTCGGGTTGTTTATTACTTCGACACTCCTGCACTTGGGAGAAGACATCAATCTTTTCGTAGTGTCGTATTTATATCACTATATAAATCACTAATGGATTTTTTGATAGAAACTTGTCATTGATGAGTGATGCGGATCAGCCTAACACCAAGCATAATCATGCCAACAACCCATTGGAGGTGCCAATTGGGCCAATCACAAGAGCTAGGGCTAAGAAGCTTAAAGAAGCATTAAATGGGCTTGTTCAGAATATATGGAACAAAATGGACCTAGAGAGGCTTGGAACATTTAAGGAGCATGAAGAACAGCCTTTAATTCATTTAGTTCAGGTCCAAGAAGAGCCCAATTCATGTGGAACAAGGGGTTGATGTGTCCGGCCCAATACCAGCCTTGTTAGGCTTGTCTTTTCTAATACTACAAGGATAAAGAGTCAGCAATTTATTCTCCTAACTAAGTAAGGAAGTTGGCCAAATCTTATTCCTATAGAGGGGAGGACTATTTAATGCTTTTCCTCACTTAGGAAGGAAAGTAATTAAATCAGCAACAAAGGAGGAAATTTGTTTTCTTATATTCCAAGCTAATCAAGGACATCAAAGGGGGCAACAACACAAATTTTCCAAATCAGATTTTTCCAATTTTGTTTAGGATTTGTTAAGGGTGACAAATCTGATTCTAGCTTATTTAGGATGGTATTTTCGGATTTTTAGTATTTTTAGTATTTTCTTCTTAGTTTTTGGGTTATTATTACTTATTTGGGTCAATTGTAAGTGGGCTACATATAAGTCCACCTAAGGGAGGTCCATTAGGGTTTCTTTAAGTTCAAATTCAGTATAAATAAAGGCATAACCCAAACATGTAAGGGTTACGCAATTTTCAGATTAATAAAACTTCTTTGCTGCACTTATTGTGTGTTGGTGGGATAATCTCCCTTCCTTGGTTCTCTAAAGAACTGAAAACGACTTATCGAAGAACAACTGACTTCGTGGCGTCATCCTTATACTTCTCGTTCGCGAATCAATATTCGTTGGGTGGGGGTTTCTGTTTTCAATAGTGCTGGTGCATGAGTTTCCCATTAGAGATATTATATTCGTTTGTAATTCAATCGATGAAGTTACTTTCCGACAAAAAAACCAATATAATATAGCGCCAAATAAAAAATAAACCTAACCATTATTCTTTATTATTATTATTATTATTATTATTATTATTATTATTATTACTACTACTACTACTACGTCTAGTATTATTAGTATTATTATTGCTATTATTATTATTGTTGTTGTTTATAATTTGTACAATTAACCTCCCTGTGGTTCGACCCCGGTTTTGTCGGGTTATTTATTACTTCGACACTCCTACACTTGGGAGAAGACATCAATCTTTTCGTCGTGTCATATTTATATCACTATATAAATCACTAACGGATTTTTTGATAGAAACTTGTCATTGATGAGTTTCCCATTAAAGATATTATATTCGTTTGTAATTCAATCGATGAAGTTACTTTCCGACAAAAAAACCAATATAATATAGCGCCAAATAAAAAATAAACCTAACCATTATTCTATCGGCCAAACCACCAGTAAATATTATCAATGGATTAATGATGAAATATTCATCGGTAATGGATTGTGTAACACCGATTAATTTTTCGATGGAATCATTAATATAAATTTTTTAAATTTGAGAGGTAACCTATCTTGTTAATGAAAAATTCAAAGTTTTTCAAAAATAGTCTAATTATTCCAAATAACCTGCCCATTATATGAAAAAAAAAAGATTTTTCAAAAGTGATCTAATTGTTCCAGGTGACCTACTTATTGTTGAAAAATTCAATTTTTTTTTTAAAATGGTCTAATTGTTCTAAACAACCTACTTGTTAGTGAAAAAGTCAGAGACTTTTTTTAAAACAATAGTCTAATTGTTCCATGTAACCTATCCATTAATGTGAATGGTCGAATTGTTCCAAGCAACTTACTTATTTGTGTGAAAAACTCACAGCTTTTTCAAAAGTGATTTAATTGTTTCAAATGACTTATCTATTTGTGTGAAAAATTCAAAGATTTTTCAAAAGTGATCTATTTGTTCCAAACAATTTATCGGTATGTGACATACATGAAAATAATTTCAACAATAGTTTTATTTTCAAAAATAGTCTATAATGATATGCACAACATGATTTTAATCAACAAAGCCGCTTTTTTTCATTTCCATTTATGGTGTCACTAACCACTATCCAAGAAGAGAGATCATGGTAGATTCGCTTAAGATCTCTTTCCTTTCTTGTTCTTATCGGTGTTTGGTGGCTACTAATAGAAAAAATGGTTTGACTTGTATAACTATTCTTGGTGTTATTTTGGGCTATTATTGTGGTGGTTTAGTTTAGTGGTTCAATGTTTCAAGTATTGAAGGAAATCAAATTTAATTGTTGTGTATATGAAGATGGGTAGTTAGAGAAGGTTCAAACTAGTCAGTATTGGAGATAGGGAGGCTGGTTTAGTTGTTTAGGTAGTTAGAGGTTGTTGTTGGTTTTATGAGGATCATGGATGATACTAGTTGGATCATGACTTAGGGTTTAGATAATTATTTTTTTGCTTGTTTTGGTGAGTTACAAGTAGGTTTCAAACCAATTAAAGAAGGTTTACAGAGACTATGATGTTTGGATATTATTAATCATAAGAATCAATAAGCAATGCTATAAGATTCATTACATGTATTGATTGTAAATATTACAAGGGTAAGAGCTAAAAGGATTAATTATGATATTTAATGAGCTGATTCATGATATTTGAATCAAGCAAGTTTCAAATTTTTTTTCTAAAATGATGTCAAACATAAAGTTGAGTTTAAAAAAGGATCAAACTTTGATTAATATTAACTAAGTAATAGATTAAGTTGTTTAACATGTATATCATATACAAGTTGGGCCTTATTAGATATAAGTACGAGTTTTGTACTTTATTCTTATCTAGTTTTAGATTTAAGTTGGTTAGTTATATGGATTTAATTTAGGTCTATTGGTGAATCATGGTTTATTTTGTAAGCCATATTATATAAGTAATGGAAATAACATTAAAAAGAAAGAATTTATATGGTCATTAAGAATTAAGCAGCGTGAGAGCACTTTTTCTTTGGGTTTTTCATTGAATTTTCATAAATTATCAAATATATCATATTTATGACATTAACTACATACCTTTGAGTCATGGTTTAAAAAATAATTGTGTCAAGGTTTTTCAAACTAATTTTAACTTTCTTGAATGAGTATTTAAATTTTTAATTGCGGGTTATAAGGTTTAGCCTCTCATGTTTTTATCAATTTGATATTAGAGCTTGACTCTAAAATTAAGTTCATTATCTTTTATTTTTTTATTTTGTTTTTATTTTTGTTATATTTATTTATTTATTTAAATATTATAGCTTATATAATTGTTCTTACTATCAAATCACACCATAAAGGTTTAAAATTTACATTGTGCTTATTCATCAAGACAAGTAACTTAAATTACTAAACAAAAAAATCTTCTACTTAATTCCATTTTATAGTGAGAAAAAAAAATCATTTAATATATTTAATTATTAATACTAAACTCACATTCATTTAAGCTCAATATGTAATTGAACTTAAAAATATTAAATTTAATAAATTATTAAATTTATATGTATATAAGCTCAACATGAATCTAAAAATGTTAAGCAAAGAAGTAAACTAGATCTATATTATCCAAAGTTTAATATAGTTAAATTTATAGATATAGTGGGTTATTATTTTGGTTTTTTTACTCTTTTAAACACATGCTTACACAAACAATAAAAAAAATTAAAATACATCACCTTCCATGTCGCTTTTACTCACCAGCTTGCAGATATTGCAACGAAAGCCCTTGAACGTGATCACTTTCACAAACTATTCAGCAAGTTGGGCATTTACAGACCTTCGTGCTCCAATTTATTTAAAGTAGAGTATCGCAGTCTGCTTTTCATTATTATTGTATCTTCCAATATCTCTTACCTTCTGCTTGTCATAAACATGCATGACTCAAGAGTGTTTCCAAGTGTTTTTCAAAATGTGAATATAATTATGGTTATTTTTAAAAATTTTTTATTTAAAAAATATTAATAATATTTTTTTTATTTTTCAAATATGAAAACAGAGTTCACAACGCCATATTCTTCTATTTTTCACGAATATTTTTTTATAATTAAAATGATTATTTTTAAATTTAATAAAAAATTAATCGTGAATTAACTTAATAGACTAGACGGAGATGAATAACTGAATATGTGATCAATACACATCCCTTTATTAATTTTAAGATTTTCATATTCGGGTCAAAATAAAAATTTGAAACAAAAAGGACCTGCCACCCTGAGCTGATCTCAGAGAGCACAATCACATCTTGTACATTGAATGAAAAGATCAGAAATCGAACGGTGCAGATCAATACACCCCACCACAGAAACCATGTACCTAACCACACGCTACTGAACCCTTTAGTACATTGAGGAAGACGAACTGGGAAACCGGATGGGCTCGTCATCTTTGCCTTGCCTCTAGGTCAGGGTTTTTGTGAGAATAGGAAAATAAACCCCTTCTCATAGCCCTTTCTCGTAATTCAACCGCGTATCTTTATTATCTTAATTTTCCTTAAAAAATAAATCCGCAAATCTTACCTCCCAATTCTTCCAGATCAACGTCAGAATCCGCCACGTATTTAAACAACGTTTTAATATTCCAGATATAAAAATTAAATCAACCCCCCCCCCCCCCCTCCCACACCTCTT